GAATTTTCATCAAAAGTCCACGTTGCAGCAAAAATCGTGCGATTTTCTTCTTTCGAAGAGAGGGGAAAAATGGTGAAATCTACCTCGAAACGTTCGTCCAACAATAACAACGACGTTTTTCTTTTTTATTAAATCGAATCAGTTTCACGTTCGTGACAAGGAGAACAGGTTAAACTTGTGTGTGTGTGTGTGTGTGTGTGTGTATGTCTGTGTGTGTATCTTTTTAAAGTTAATTTATCGCTAGAGTTTTTTCGAGCTAAGTTTTCTCAAATTTTTCTTTAGATTAAAGTCATCTCTTCGCCTAATCAGAAGAACAGGTATATAATTCGCTAGGTAAATTGTTTTTTTTTTTCTTATTTTTTTTCTCTCTTTTCTTATCTGTCGCGCTACCTTCGTGATTTCCCTCTTGTTGATTCTTTTTGTGTGTTTTTCTCTTTTTCGCCTTTCTATTTCGTTATCGTTATTATCACGCCTTCTCTCCACTCGCTCGCTTAGATTATCATCTCTCCTACTGCTTTGCGACACGCCTGGCTCGCTTCTTTCTTTCTCTCTATATACTGTTTTTACTTTTTTTTTTTTTTCTTCCTTTTTTGTGTTTTTCTTTTTTTCGGTTCTTTCGTTCGTTAGGAATTTTCGCAGACGCCTGGTTAGCCTGAGAAGAGAACGGGTGCGCTCGTTTCGATCTGTTCAACAACTACCGTAAGTTCCGATGAATTCTCGGCGAAAATTTAACAGACGGAAGAAGAAGAAATAGGATTTTTTTTCTGGTTTTTACACCGGATAGTTTTCTTTTTTCTCTTTTTCGTTCGTATCTTACGTTACGTATATACAGATGTACATTTGTATTTTTCATTTTCTCTCTCTCTGTTGGCTTAATAAGAAGCACTCGAGACTTTGATGTGGTAAAGAAGAAACGAGGAAAGGGGGATCGGAGTTTTATAAAAGAGAGAAGAAGCGACGTTCGACCGTTTCGTTCGCGGTGAAGTGTTCGACGCCGAAAATCTATGTACGCGTGGGTAATTGACACAGAAGGCGAATGGATATCGTTGATAATTGACTCTCGCGAGCTACCACGGGGTAAAGAAACCTGAAACTTGAGAGTAAGGATTCCAAGGTGAAGATAGTGAATTTTGGAAGATTTGAATCTGTGAATTTTCGAAGATTTAAACTTGCGAATATTGGAAGATTTAAATTTGTCAATTTTCAAACATTTAAATTTATAAATATTGGTAGATTTAAATCTGTGAATTTTCAAAGATTCAAATTTATAAATCTCCGAAGATTTAAATCTGTCAACTTTCAAACGTTTAAATTTATAAATATTGGTAGATTTAAATCTGTGAATTTTCAAAGATTCAAACCTGTGAATTTTCGAAGATTTAAATTTGTGAATTTTGAAAGATTTAAATCTGTGAATTTTCAACGATTTAAGTCTGTGAATTTTGAAAGATTCGAACCTGTCAATTTTCGAAGAGTTAAATTTGTGAATTTTGAAAGATTCAAACCTGTGAATTTTCGAAGATTCAAATTCGTAAATCTTCGAAGATTAAAATTTTTTAACTTTCAAAGATTTAAATCTGTCAATTTTCGAAGAGTTAAATTTGTGAATTTTGAAAGATTCAAACCTGTGAATTTTCGAAGATTCAAATTCGTAAATCTTCGAAGATTAAAATTTTTTAACTTTCAAAGATTTAAATCTGTCAATTTTCAAAGATATAAAATTGTGAAATTTCAAAGATTCAAACCTGTCGATTTTCAACCACGGGGTAAAGAAACCTGAAACTTGAGAGTAAGGATTCCAAGGTGAAGATAGTGAATTTTGGAAGATTTGAATCTGTGAATTTTCGAAGATTTAAACTTGCGAATATTGGAAGATTTAAATTTGTCAATTTTCAAACATTTAAATCTGTGAATTTTCAAAGATTCGAATCACTAAATTCTCAAAGATCTGAATCCGTTTTTCTTTCAAAGCTTTAAATCTCTAAATCCCTAAATTAAATCTATTAAAATCCCCAAATCCTCAAAACTTAAAAATCGTAAATCTTCAAAGACTTAAATCCCAAAATCTTCAAAGATTAAAATCAGCAAATCTTCAAACAGAAAAAAAAAAAACAAAAAGAAGTTTCAGAGTATTCTCCCTAGTGTCACTGAAAAAGGGGTGAGAAAAGCAAGCAGATACATCTCCGATGGAAACGGGGCAGTGCGCAGTCCCCTCACGCCAACCAATCAACAGATACACGCATTTTTTTTCTCATTTTTTCTTTTTTTTTTTCTTTTACTTCTCCGTTTAATATCTCACGCGTGCGTTCAGTTATTAATTACAATTATTAAGGCTACTTCAAGCGGTTACAATACGGTAGTAATAATAATCGACAAACTCTCCACACGATTTCTTTTTTCGCCGCCTATTCGGCCGTATTTATCTTTCTTCTTCTTCTTCTTTTCCTCCCTCTCGCACATCATCTTCTTCTTCACTCCCATTAGTAATGGTAATTAGTTAATTGTAATAGTAGTAATTAGTAGCAATATTAGTAATAATAATCATAATAATAATCAATAATAATCAATAATTAGTAATAATAATCAATAATAAGTAACGTTATCATTATTATCCTCACTGTTCCTCGTTTAAACTGTTTTCTGTATGTAGGTTACATAATATTTATATATATATTTATCCACGCGGGTTCCATTCTCTCCTTCCCTCTTTCTCCTCCATCGACGCATTTTCGTCTTTCCGCTTCCCTTTCTTCATCTCTCCCTCGCCGCTCCTGCTCTTCTCTTCTTCGCGTTGCTACTGCTTCCTATCGCGTCATTCTCTCTCTCTCTCTCTCTCCACCTTCAGCCGTCTCTCCCTTCCTCTCCTTCTCTGTCCTGTCCCTTTCGTGAACGAACGTCTTACGATCTAGAAAGATGTTGCCTTTGCATCGACCGCGAACGATCCAGAGGCATCGGGAATCCATTTCTCTCCAAATTTCCTTCAGTTACACGCGCGCTTCTTCTTCTTAGGGGTCGCCTAGTCGTCGAGATTTTAGGCTCTCCCGTGTTTCTCGGGGGGGCGGTGTGGTCCGATTGTGCCTCGCGATCGCGACGGCCGTTCTTGGGTTCCTCCGGAATCGAAAGTTGTCGCGGCTAGGATGGTGTCTCTGGGTCTGTGCGTGGGAACGAGGTGCGCCGGGACTTGTTGCGAATCGAGGGAAGAGGAAGTTGAGGACGTGAGACAATTGGCGAAGGGCGAGGTGGGGAATTATCGGAGAAAGAGGAGGGTCCTGTCGAATGGCGGGTGAAAAGAAGAAAATAGAGACCTGTTTGATCCTCGCGGAGCTGAAGGGAGAAATGAGACAGGGCTGATTAACTAAGAACGAATGAAGAGAGGTCAATATTCAAGTGTCCATTGGGAATTAGAGTGTTCTTCGTTTGGACACTGAAGAAAAGAAGAAAAGCAGGTCTCTGTAATGTAATTACCTTCGCTGGAACAGAAAAGAGAATATGTTTACGTTAAGAAAAATTATTACTAATTGTGTATTTAACGAAGAGAAAATTCCAACTTGGCAATTCTAACTGAACTGATTACTATAAATTACGTTAGAAAATTAGAGTAATTTACAATTTAAAAGAGGCCGAAAGTCTGGAAAGAAAAATATCGAACACCAAAGATATCAAAATTTCCACGAGAAATCAGAGAAGAAATTAGGAATAAGTGAATTCATTTAAAAACACCAATCAAGTGCCCAACAAAATTTCCCGCAGTTTTACGACATTTGTCTAACGAAATAAAACCAGCTGGAATTTTTCGGTCACTTGATTAACAAGATGAGGAAGCTCGCGACACGAGCGAGACAAGGAATCGATCAAAGGGGAACTGCGAAGGGAGCTTTCAAGCAACGTCCTCCATTCGAAGAATTCCATCTCGACGTGACTGGAGAACCTGTCATCGAGATTCCCCTTTTCCGCTTCTCGTTACAGCGAAACGAGGAAAAGGCTCGAATTCGAGACCGACGAAATTTCAGCAACGAACAGAACTGGGACTTCGTCGATACTGATAAATATGAGGCAGAAAAGAGAAGGATTTTTCTGTGAAAAATTAGTTCCTCCGGTGATTCTTCTACTCGCGAAACATCGATGCTTGCGGAGCGTGACTCAACTATCGAAGATCCTTGTCGACGATATCGGACAGTTTTTAGTTAAACAAATTGTCTTGGCGATTGGAAAAATTGAATTTTCCCAGGAATTCAATTTTTCTCCCGGAGAAGTACGACGAGAGAGAAGAAACTTCGAAGTAGGACCGATTAGTTGAGATATTATCGATCGAAGGAATTCCAGGAATCTAGAAAAATTGGTTTCGTTATATTTGACAATATTACGGAACGAAGATTTTTAGATTCGCAGACGAGAATCGAACATGTTCAGAAGGGACACAATTTTTCTAAATAGAAAAATGAGAATAAAGTATGCAGATATCCAGTCGAATGGAATTCTTCGTGGGAACTGCAGAAGGCAGGAAACAGATGTCAATCATCTGAAAATAAAATAAAAAGAATCCTAAACTCTACGAACAACATTGCAAAAGCCTAGAAAATATCTGCAGTCAAAATCGTTACAGCAATTTTTCCACGAATCCACTTGGAACCAAGCCTCCGAGCTTAAATTCGTAAGAAAAGTTCGCCTGTAAAGTGAAAAGCTCCTAAATGGAAAGGTATGCCGAATGCAGTGAAGTCAGAAAGATGGCAGGAAAGGGGTTGAAAAATTGTAAAGAATTTTTCTGAAATAAAATTGTAGAAGGTGCATGATTAGTACGACGAAAGAAAAATCGACGAGGGTAGGATGATTGAGAGGATCTTTTTTCTTTCTCCATTCGATTCACCGGTGACAACTATCGATTGGTGAGTGTCAAGTCAGCAAGATGGCGAGGACAATCGTCGACGGTTAGCGCGCGGCTTGTTCTCGCGTCAGATGGATCCCGTTGCTTCCGTTCGCGGTTCCACGGTCGCCGGAAGCGACGTATTAGCCACGAAACACCAGGAGGACCGACATCGTGATCGCGAGGACCGCGAGGCTGCTGCTGGACGCGAACGTCGGGGCAGAGTTGCAGCCATCTTGCTGGCAACAGTACGTCCTCGTGCTCCAGGCCTCTGAAACAAAAGAACGATTAATGGTTTTCGATGGTTCTTCAATGGCGACGAAATTTATCGGTAGGTTTCTATGGAATATTTCAAATTGGATAATAGGTTTTCAAGGAATATATAAAATTGGCCAACAGGTTTCTTACGTTTATTTACATATTTAATTTAATTATTTTGATAGGAATTGAACACGTTAAACGCCCAGCCTGTTTTGCTTACCGTTCCGTTCAGGCCACACTTGGCCGTCAAGTGGGCCATGCGAACTATAAACAGAAGACGACCAACGAAAAGTATACTGTCAGTCACCGGTGACTGACACGGCCTGAACGAAAAGTATAGTGTCAGTCACCGGTGCCTGACACGGCGCTTAACGTGTTAAATACAGATTTCATTCTGAAATTAAAAAGTATGCGTGGATGTGGATGAGTGCGAAGTGTTACAAAAATTTGAAAAATGGCTACACTTTAATATACTCAAAAATTACTTTCCTTTAAACTTAAAATAAATGAAAAAAACTCACGTTGAAAAGTAATAAAAATTCTTCATCGACAATCGAAAATACACATACAACAGATACAATTAAAAAAACAGTTCTCCAATATACCGATTTTCATTTCGAAAAATTCCACGGACCACAAAAGTACAATGTTATTAAAAATAATTTCACGTATAAAACTTTATTAAAAATAAACACAATTCAAAGAAACTTTTCCAATATATTGCTTTTCACTTTCAAAATTCCATACATTACAGAAATACAACTTTATTAGAAATAGTTCTGCACAACGTCAAATTTTATCGAAAATAAATGCCATTTAAAAAAATCCTCTCCGATACATTCCGCCAACCACAATCCACAATTTAAATTGCAAAGGAATTATAAGTACACTAAATTTCCATAATTTCATATCGAATAAATATCACTGAAAAAAATACAGATTTCCACTTCCAAAATTCCACGAACCACAAAAATACAATTTCACAGAAGCTAAACATCGCTTAGAAAATCTTCTCCAACACATTTCAACTTCGCAAAAAATAAATGTCATTGAAAAAAGAAAAACTGATCCCCACTTCCAAAATTCCACGAATCGCGCGATTCCCCCGAAAAAATCTGGAGAAATAAGCAGAGAAGGACTGATCCTTCGTTGTTCCCTTCGCTTTTCCGGATTAGCAGCCTCTTGGCTCTGCCAGCTTCGAGCAGGAGGATCGAGGAAGGTCGCATACTGATTGATTGGGAGCAAGCCTCCGTTCTCTCCTTTGTTCTGCCTCGTCGAGCGTTTTTCCACGGTAACCCCGGTGTTTGCCACTCTGGCAAGACCTCGTTTAGGCGGAATCGAAGCACGCCATCGATCCACTTCCAACTCGGTTCTCCTGCCTTCCTCTCTCTTCTATTTTTTTTTCTCCATACTTCCAAGCATGATCTCTTTTCGAATATGATGGATTCGGGGAAAATGGACGAGAACTCCGAGAAGAATTCTAATCTCGGATATGTCCGATGGTGTTTTAATGTTGGATTTACGAGGAAACGAGAGTGGCGGGAAATGGTCGAATTTATGGCTTTCGGGATGGCTGGAATTTTCACGTGACACCATTTTGCGAGTTCCAAGGAATTAGGGAAATGTAATTATTTAAAGGGAATACAACAGGACAGTTGGGAAAAAAATTAACAAAGAGGAAAGTGAAAATTGTAATAATTTCTTGAGGAATTTATGAAATGTACAAACTCAGACGCTATTTTGTAGGTAAAATTGTAGTATCGTAATTTTGGGAAAGAGCAGTTTCAAGCAAATGTGGCGAGCACGAGAGAGAAAGCGGGCGACCCAACGCGAAAAACCCCGGCGACAAGAGGCCCACGAAGGGTTTCCTCCTTATGGAGAAACCTGGAGAGGAGATCCTAATTCCAAACACCAAAGAGTGTCCACTTCGAATAAACACAAGATACTCAGCAGGAGTCTCGCGTCAATCACTTTCACAGTTAATCTTTGTAATACAAGTAAATACATATATAGTCCAACACAATCATCCTGGCCTTCTCGAACAATTCGCCAGGAAATCGCCTAATTATCGCGGCGCGGTAAAAACCACGTGGAAACTTCCGACTTCCACGAGACTACGGTCCGACAACGCGAGTCTCGTCGCGGACGCGGGCGAAAACGACTCCGTCTAACGAGCACACGCGAGATTTTATTAAACGCAGACAGTCAATCATTTCTCCCTTTTCCTCCACCTCTATCAAGTGAAATAACTCTCTTCTCCGGACGGAATGAAATTAAAAAGCGCGAGCTAGAAACACAGGGAGAGAAGAGACGAAGAAATAGAAGAAGAAGAGGTATTTCATGAATGAAATAGGGGCACGCGTTGCCCGGAAAACAAGCCAATTTCTTTTAATACAAAAGCACGATCTCTCTGTATCCCTTCCCTTCCCGGCCAGGAATAAGGAGAACGAGAGGGAAAAAGTAGTTGAAAGTAGGCCAGAGGAGGAGAAGCGGGAAGAGTTATCGAGACAAAAGAGGGGTGAAAGACCTCGTTAAGGTGAAAGATTCATTGACAAAAGGGTGTTCGTTTTAATCGAGTACAGTCGATACGGAGCTAGAGGAATATCAATATTGTTGAAGAGATAGTTAAAGGAGAAACATTACGGAAACTGTTGGGTTGTGTAAGAGTAAAGAATTACAAGGGGCTTAAAACGACAGATATTAAAATGACGTTGGTTCGCTCGTCGATGGCTAGGTACGATAATGTGTGTCCTCAGGGGCCGCGGGCCGACCTTGGTTAGTCCGCGGTACGGGTGTGGCAATCCCGAGGCACCCTTGTCCGGCGAGGGCCTCAGGGGCCGCGGCCGACATTTCCCATCGGTCGCGGTACGGGGGTTCACGACCCCGAGGAACCCGAGTGCACGGGCCCGGGGGAGGGCGTATCGCTCCTCCTGCCGGGTCCGCAGCCCATTGCACGCGGCCCGCGGTGGGGGCGTCGCCTGCGTGGTCCCGGCCACGCCTCGGAGTTGAGAGGGGGTCCATTTGACCCCCTCCGGGATGAGCCCCTCCCTCCTCGAACATCTTGAGGGAGGGGCCCGGCGTGGGGTGGGTCCGGTTGCGTTCGTTCGAGATTCACATGGGATTTCCCCATGTAAAAAAGAAAAAAAGGTACGATAATGTGTGTGCCGCTGCCCTTTTTCCCGTTTTTATACGCTTCTTCGGCCGTTAGGGCCCTGCAAGCCGTGGGGTGGGGCCTTGTCTAGGGCCCTCTGCGGCTCGGGTCCCGCGGTCGTTGCCTAAGCGCGTCGCACGGCGCCTTACAGTTGCTAGTTCTGCGAGGTGGTCGAATAGAAAAACAATGAAGGAGGTATTAAACACACCAGGATATATCCTACACGCAGCGCGATGCTACGACGGTGTAAAAGCGCGCGAGAGAGGAACAGCACAAGCCACGTGTGCTCTCGGGAAAAACCGTTGACGCTCGGGGGGTCTCCGCACGCGGGCACTTCGAATACTTTAACAGAAACTAACAGAGAGAGAAAAACGAA